GAAGTCCAATGTTAGAGATCCTAGGTCTTGGTCTGAAATCCTAATAGAAAAGGAAGATATAACCTTAGAGCAAAAACACTTGAATGTAAGACTTGAAAGAAAGGTTAATCCATAAGCTGTTTTCCAAACAGCCTCCATATAAGAGGTGGGCAAATTATGGCCTGTGGGCTGAATCCAGCCTGCCAACTGACTGGATGGGGCCAGTGGCTGCCCCTGCAGCACTCCACGTGCGGCTGAGCCCCACCTGCTCTCACCAGTGCAGCCCACACCGTGCTCCCACCTGCCTGGGCCCCAACTACCATGCACGGCTTCTGATGGGGCTGTTCTCAGTGCTGCTCTGCTCCCCTTGCCTCCAATGGGAGCTGCGTGATGGAAGCTTCCCCCTCATCTGCCCACCCAAAACAGCACAGCAGAGACAGGGGCAGGAGAAGCCACTGCTGGCGGAAGCTAGGAGAGCAGAGCAGTACCCAGCTGGCTGCAGCTGCACCAGGAACAGCTCCACCAGAAGCTGTGTGTGTTGGTCAGGGCCCTGGCTGGTGGGGGCTGTTCTGTTCTCCTCTCCTCCAGTGGTGGATCCTCCTCCTGCCTGTGCTACACTGCTCCAGGCAGGCAAGAGGAAGCTTCAGCCAGGCAGCTCCTGCCCCAGTGCATGGGCTTTGGCTCCAGCTCCCGGCTGCTTTCCACCCACTCTGCCTGCCTGCCCACAGGTAGCTGCTCATGACCTTTTGAGAGGTTCTGTAGCAATGAAAAGATACAGGGCAGAGGGTCTTCAAGATTCATGTCAAAGCTTGTGGACAGATGCAGTAATAATGAACGCACAACTTTATTTCCTTAAAAAAAAAAAGTAGAAAGCCCAACCTTATCATCTTATTACCTTTTACCAAGAACATTCACACAAACAAACATGGCACTACTCTGCTGGCAAGGTGACCAAATCTCAAGACTACTCCTGTAGTGAGTTTAATGTTACTGTCTATAGGGAAGGCTAATCCCCCCAATATTTAAAGTTCACACATATTAAAATAGACCAGAGCCTGTTTGCTTATGGTTAACAAAATGCATCCACACTTTCATCAGCTCTGTTAAAAGGGATTACACCACTGATCATGGAAAAAAAAAAAAAAAAAAAAAAACAGATGTCACAGCAGTGCATCAATTTTT